TCAGATTTTCGAGCTCATCCACTTTTAACTTTTATAAATGTGGAAGGTTTAGGTTCCATCTAATGCGTTGGCCAGTTTGTCCCTTGATCTGGCTCATGGTGGTCGTGGTTTTCCCTGGCAGAAGTTTTTGATTGAATTTATCCTTTCTTCCTTTATAGGTTCTGGGAAGACCTCAGTCATTTCTTTATGAGGGAATTTTCCTTCAGTACTTTTTAGAATCTTTCTGTGCAGCCCAGGTTGGCCTCAAACTTATGATCCTTCTACCTTAGCTTCCTGAGTGCTTTGGGGAGCCTGTTCTAGCCACCGTGTGAGCTCTAATGATCAGACTCAAGAGGTCAGGCTTGGAAGCAGATGCCTTTAACCACTGAGCCATCTTGCCAGCCCTGGATTTATGTTTAAGTACAAAATAGAAACCCTTTTAGAACTATGCTAGCATCTGATGGAGGTGTCAATCCTGATGTTTATGTCTTTCTGTCTTTTGAGAAGCTACCTGACTGTTCCACCGTCAGTAAGCGAGGGTCCTCTTTCCCTTCTTCTGCACTCTGGGTCCCCATGTGAATTTGTTCATTCATGTGCCAGTCGCTTTAACTGCTGAGACTTCTTGATACATTTAGAGTTTGGCAGGGCTTGTCTCCTTGGCTCTGCTTTTTTTTTCCTTCTTGGCGAGTTGTGTGTGTGTTTTTTGTATGCACTGTAGGATCAGCATGCGGAGCTGAAAAGGAAACTTGCGTTTCTACAGTAATTCCTTTAGATTGTAAACTGGCTTTGGGAGGATTGCGAGGAATGCCCTCTTCTTGACTGGAGTTATCTCCCTGTCCTTCGGAGTGCATTCAGGCGCCCTCCCTAAGGTTCTACACATTCCTGCGGGGTCTCGTCTCGGGTGTCACCGCCATAAATGCACCGTATTTTCTCACCACTGGATTCTTAGTGATGGTATGTCTCTCATTGTGTCTGGATGCCCGGAAAGCCCGTGGGTGCTGGCAAACAGCATATGAGTCATGAGCCCACACAATGGAGTGCTGTCCAGACAGGTGGCCTTTCCTGGGCCAGGGGCTGTTGTCCCCTCATAGATCTATGTCTCCTTTCCCTCTTTGTCACCCCATTTCCTGATTGATAGTGTGCCAAGACCCCACCAGTGCCTTAGGAGCCACAGAGACCTGAGGACCTGTCAGGCCATCCTTACATAGTAGATAAATGGAAGTGCAGCTCAGGAGTTAGTCCTGCTTCTGCCTCTGCCTCGGATTGCTGACTGATGTCCAGATGTCTTCTGACGCTCTCTCCATGGTCTGTTAAAATGAGGGTGGCAATGTTGACTTTGTAATAAGATGTTGTTAAGATTTATTACAAGGTATGTAAGGTACCTAGCCAGGGTTTGGCGTGAAGGCTGCGTTCTCCTGTCCCCTTCTGATGGCTGTGGCTGTGGGAAGAGGTAAAAAGGTTCCTGGCTGTGTGTGGGAACCCAGGTTGCTGTCCTGGGAGCGAGGTCCAGGCTTCTCACATGAGCTGAGGATCTTTTCCCACTTTCACCTTAATATTTCTCTTCCCTTTCTTTTTTTTTTTTTTGACAAATACCTCATTCCACAGCCGAGGTTGGTATGGATCTCTTGGGGTCCCTCTTACCTCAAGCCTCCCAAGTCCTGGCATCACAGGTACAAGCCACTACATCCACCCTCCTGTAGATCCTATCCGCGTCCTAACCTGGGCAGGGCGGAGGAAGTGATCTTAGCAAGTGCACGATGCTGGGTAAATCTGGTTTTAAATGTTTAAGTGTTCGTCAGCCTACTGTTGTGTGGCTGGTATCTGAGCAGATGCTTTGGGGTCCATGGTCCTTACAGTGTCTAGCAGACACCTTCTTATTAGTCACGAGGTTTATCGGGAGCAGGGTGTACTTTTTCCAAGGCCATCTGGAATCTGCTGGGTCGCCTGTCTTCACCCAGCTGTGTGTCCTTGGGCGAGTCACGTTCCCACTCCAGGCCTTCTGTTCCTCATTGCAAACCCAGGGGGTTGGGTCAGAGCCCCCTCTGCACTCTGCTCTCTATGCACTCAAGTTCTTGGATTCCATCGGGGCTAAATCTAGACCTCAGTGGCAAAGCACGCATGGGAAGCCCTTGAGATGGATGTCTGGCGCTATTGTAATTGTTAAAATAGAGCAGGCTTCGGAATTGTGGCCAGAACATAATGAATCCCATTTCTGTAGAACAATCATGATGATGGGGGACCAGTCGTGCACTCGGGTGGTTGATGTGGCTAGCCCGTTTGGCCCGGCACCACCCTACGACAGATAGGCAAGGGAACACGGTACCTGAGGAGCTCCCGTGCGAGTCGCTCAGTTGCCTTCAGAGTCTCTCAGGCTCACAGTCCTGGGGTTCAAATCTCCATGTGCACTGGTTTGATGGACGGGTTCTTCCAGACAGGTTCCAGACTATTAAGAGCTTTAAGGGTGTTTGAGACGACCTGGTTGAGAGCTGTACTTCAACAGATGGGGACCCTAGTGTCTGGGGAAGAGCTTACTCAGGACTTGGAGCTGGTGGAGCGATATCAGGGAGGCTTCTCTGCGGCCAAGACTGTACCCTCTAATGCAGTGGTTGTCAATCTTCTTAACGCTGTGACCCTTTCATACATCTCCTCGTATTGTGGTGACCCTCCCCCGAACCATCACATTACTTTTATTGCTACTTCATGATTGCTACTGTTAGGAGTCATAACGTAAATCTGTATTTTCTGGTGCTCTTAGGTGACCCCCAGGAAAGGGTTGTTTGAGAACGGATGCTCTAGTTTCTCTGTCTCCGCAGGCCCATCAGTTGTCTGTCCCCTGGAAGGTGACTTCGGCAGTCTCTTAACCCAAGTCATCAGGAACAGGGTCATGGGCTAAAGTGGTGGTCTTCTGAACATAGGACCTTTGTGGAACTGGTGGGAGTGGCCGTGGAAGGAGGGAAAAGGAGGAGCCTGTGGGAGGAGCCTGGGCTCCTGGATACATTGTGGCTGCTGCAGAGCTAGGCACAATGGCTGTGGTTTGTGGTTCTGTCTGGTCTGCCTTGGTGATGCCAGCCTAGGAGAACCAGAAAGATTGGGGCCCATCCAGCATTTGGGGGAGCTGCAGCGTGTGAATGGCCGTAGAAAGTTTGTATTGGATACATGCTCATTTTCAGATTCTGACTGGAAAAAAAAAATGCCAAGATTAACTTGTCTCTGGTGAGCAAAGTAAAATCTAGAGGTTTGGAGGCCTGGCACAGCTCTGTGCTTACTCAGCCAAGAATCCTGACATTCAAAAGAACAACAGATAGGACCCCTTTTTTCGGGGAAGTGTGTTTATTTTAGTGGTATTGGGAACTGAGCCCCCATTTCCAGCCCTGGGTGAGTTTGTAGTTTTGAAGAGTTAAGAAGAATTAGAAAGCCACATGGCCCAGGCAAGACAGAGTGAGAAGCTTCAGCAGATATGGGAGGTCCAGTATAGGGCCTGCCTTCTTGCAGAAGGGAGAGAAGACAGGCCTAGATGCACGAGAACACCAGTGCCGCAGGAAGGACCATGCTGAGGTGGGGACACACCCAGGCTGCCTCCCAGGAACAGAGGCCCTCCCTGAGAACCCAACGTGTCTTGGTGACTTGTCCAGGGTGACAAATCTTGAGGTGCTCCCTAAGGCCCAGCTCCACCGGCCATATCAGGACATTCCTGGCTGCAGGAAAGGATGTCTTTTTCTGCCTCATTTTGAATTGGGCAGTGTCCTGCGCTACCAGAGAGCTCTGCCCTTACCCCCAAGAGGGTAATGGCTGCTGTACAAGACAGAAAGGCTAGCCAGAGCACCTAGGTGAACTTCAGAGCCTAGGGCAGGCAGAAGCCCACAACTAGCCTGCACCAGCCTTCCAGATGCAGGACCAGCATGGAACCTTCTGGGCCTCAGAACTAAGCCAGGCTTTCCAGAAAAGAACAAATACTGGGCCTTTTATCTTGGCACTGTGGCCACCCAAGGGTTAAATATTTCATTCCACAGAGGCTGCCACAAGCCTAGCCTGGAAGGGGCACCCCAGGCAGAGGAAAGCATTTTGAGGGGAAGAGGAGCCGAGGGCCAGCAGCTGAGATAGAAAGCAAAGGGTTAACAGATGCAGCAGAGCTGATAAAATGCCCCAAATTCCTGGTCTTGCCTTCAGTGGGAGGGCATCTGGCAAATGTCAACGATAAAAAATGCATTTTAATGGCACCTGATGTAGCCGCTACCGTGAGGGCACAGCCATATGAAGCACATTGGGGCAGTTAACTACTGTGTGTTTCTGCCTGGGCTCTGGTGACCAAGCATCTTGGGCTCTTCCCTAAGCTTCACTCAGCTAGGCTGACCTCTGTCCCCACGCCCGCTGCTCTTGGGTGCTCGAGGTCTCCTGCAGGCCCAGGCATCAGTTCAGGAACTTGGCTTGTCACTGGGTGAGTGTTCCTCAGGCTGGGAACTGCCGTGAGCAGTTCGGAGGCCAGCAAGCCACCAGTCTTGCATTGTGCCCCAAGAGCAGGACATTTCCCTCCCCTTCTCCCCTCTCTCCTGTCCTGCAAACCCTTACCGTAGTTGTTGACAGATGTGAGAGGTGGTGGCTGAGCCCTTACAGTGGGCAGTTCCAGGAAAGGCAGGACACCTGTAGGTTGAGGGGAGGGGGCAGGCTGTGTACTAGGATCTCACAGTTGAGCTCCAGAGAAGGTGAGAGACATAGGGTCAGTGAGTCATCAGGGCCCTGGCCTTCTGCCTATAGCTCAGCTAACTTAGCTGTACGGGACTTCCCCTTTCTCTAGGCTCTTGATGGTCACGGTGAAACAGGCCCACCACAAAAGCTGGGATAAGGTGCCCCTAGAACAGAGAGGCTAAGTGAGGTTGTGGGGATGGAGTTGGGACCCCAGTTCCTTTATTTGGGAGCTTTGAGACATTTTTGGGTTCAGGCCTGGGTCCTAGGCTCTCAGGAAGAGGCCAGCCAGTGCCGAGGGGGGTGGGGTCTGGGGCTCAAGTCAAGACCTTCTCTCGCAGATCATCCTCAACTCCATGCATAAGTACCAGCCACGGCTGCACATCGTTAAGGCCGATGAGAACAATGCTTTTGGCTCCAAAAACACAGCCTTTTGCACCCACGTGTTCCCAGAGACATCCTTCATCTCCGTGACCTCCTATCAGAACCACAAGGTATGGTGACCCCAACCCACACTGAAACCCCATCCAACCTGCCTTCTTCCTTGAGGTGAAGTGAGGCTGGTGCCAACCCCAGGGCACATCAAGTAACCAACAGAAAAGCAGAATAGCACAGATGATAGTGAGGTCACCATACTGGGAAACAGCCAGAGTTAAACCAAGAAGCCCTGGAGAAGGCAGAGCCGTGACCAGCAGCTGAAAACCAGAGGCCCGGAGTCAGCCTTGGGGTGTGAGGGTCGGGTTCTTTTCTTTTAGAATCTTCTTGTAGGTTTAGTTCTGGGCTGGCAGGGAGAGGAACCTGGGTCCTGTCAGCTAGATGGCTGGCATGTGCCAATCACCACCTCCTCCCTGACTCTTGGTCATATAGGCTGCAGTGGGTTTTAGAAGTGTGGCCAAGTCAGATTTTCAGTCACTCAGAATCGGTAAGGAGGTTGACATACACAGGGATCAGAAGAAAGTACCAGAAGGGCTGAAGCAAATAGAGCAGAGAACTTGGGACAAGCTCTTATAAGCAGCCAGGTCAAGGAAGATCCAGTTGGTCCTGGACGGCATGCTGGCTCAGGGCTGGGGTTCAGCTTCTCCAGGCTATACCTAGGTTCTCATTAGGCCTGGGCTAAGGGAGGAGGGCTACTAAGCCAACCTGTCCTTTCTCCTCCCAGCCACTCTGTGTGTCCTTTTCCGACAGATCACACAGCTGAAAATTGAGAACAACCCTTTTGCCAAGGGATTCCGGGGCAGTGACGACAGCGACCTGCGTGTGGCCCGGTTGCAGAGGTGGGGCTGCCCTGGCCAGGGGTGGGACGGGAAGACCCAGGAACCCTAAAGCATCTTCACTCTCTCCCTGCTCCTCCAGCAAGGAGTATCCGGTGATCTCCAAAAGCATCATGAGGCAGAGGCTCGTCTCCAGTCAGCTCTCAGCTAAGCCCGACGTCAGTCCCCTGCACAGCGCGCACCAGGCGCTGCAGCACTACCAGTTTGAGAACGGGGCCCACATGCAGTTCGCTGCTGCAGAGCCCCAGGACCTGCCCCTCAACACCTTCCCAACGCAGAGGGACTCCAGCCTCTTCTACCACTGCCTGAAGCGCAGAGGTAGGGATCTGAGAAGTGCCTGAGGGCCGAGCATGCAGGCCTGTTGGTTTCCTCTTTTATGTGACCTTGGGAATCCTCAGAATCTTTTTCTGTTTATTTGTTTTTTGGAGACAAGGGTTTCTTCTCTGTAGCTTTGGAGCCTGTCCTGGAACTAACTCTCGTAGACCAGGCTGGTCTCGAACTCACAGAGATCCACCTGCCTCTGCCTCCCGAGTGCTCAGCACTGCCTGTAGGGAAGTGGGAAGCTAGATTGTTGGTGGTCTCAGCCGCAAAGCAGGGAGGACCCACAGTGCTGGGTATGGTGCTCTCCACTGAGCCCTTAAGGATGCCCACTGGTTTCTTGGGAGCTGAAATGAGTCACTGGGCACTTGGCTTCTTTCTAACACTGGCCTGGAAACCAGCATGCCCAGGCTTTTCTGCCTACCCTGTTTTCCACAGACATATCCAAGCGTGACTACTGTTAACCTTGCCAAGGGATCTTCCTAGGTCTCCAGAATTCTGTTGGGAGCAAGTCTGGGGACTTTTGCTTTAATCCAGAACATTCTGTCAGCCCACTCCTAGAGATGAGCCTGGCAGAGTGCCAAGTGCCCTAGATGCAAGTCCCATTATAACCCAGTCCCCTGGAGGTCAGAAGAATGGTCATTAGACCTGATGCTGCCTCTTTATTTTAAAAAGGTGGGCTTTTCATATTATCCTATGGTAGTCAAATTTCAGTACCCATAAATAAAGCTTTGCTAGAGCTCGTGTATCTCATATGTGGTCTATAGCTGCTTTCCTAGGTCAGCAACCAAACTGAGTAGCTATGGCACATACTGATGGCCTTCAAGCCTATACTACCTGTCTGGCCCTTTGCTCCTTCCAGAGTAACTGGGCCACCTGCCAATCACGGGAAGAGGTGGGGAAAGAGGCCTAAGTATCCCTGGGCAGCCAGGAATCAGTCAGTCTACAGAGGGACTAGGAGGTCCACCCCTCTTCCTCCAGGCTGCTCAGCTCTGTAAATGTGGATCCCTAGAGAAGAAAGCGCAGGAGGGAAGCCAAGATCAGCCATGGGGAAGTGTTCTTGAATTTGTTGAGAGGGGGCTGCCCTAGCCCTCAGGCCTCAGTTACCCCTGGGTCCCTGGGGCAGACATGTTACTCCAGAGGGTTGATCCCACACAGTCAGGGCAGGGGCGGGAGGGAGGGAGTGGCGGGGTTGGAAGATGCAGCGATGTGGTTTGCGGTGGCTGCTGGCATCCTTCCAGAGGGTCTCAAAGTAGCCTGAACAGTCAGTCAGTCTTTTTCCTTGTCGCTAGTGCAGCTGCTTTGTAGAGGCTGTTGGGCTGGGATGGGCAGGACGACCGCAGATATGCCTTCCTTTTGAACACAGTAGGGTTAAACTGCTCGTCTCTAACAGCAAAAGCTTGCCTATAAGCCTTTTTGGCACACCACCTCCTTCCCGAGGCTCTCCGCAGTAACATCATGGCCTTAATTTGCTGGCTAGTTCTGACAGATGTGGTCTCTGGGCCTGCTTCGTCCTGGCAATTGCCTTCACTCTCCTGGGCCAAGGCTGGGCTAGCCCGAGAATGCCAGTGTGCAGAAGGGCCTCTGAGCATCCCGAGAGTCAGGCTGGCAAAGCGTTGTGTTGCCTGATGCAGTGCGTTCCTCAGTGTCCAGTGATGTGGTGTCCCCCGTGGCCTTTGACAAGGGTCCATAATCTGACCACTTCTTGGCCATTGCCACCTTATAAAAGCTGCGGCTGATTCAAACGGTTCTGGGAGTACCAGGCAGCATGGGGCCATGGCAGGTGCTGAGTGAAAAGCGCAGGCTGTCCTGGCGCGTGGGGGTGGGCGGGTGCACCAGGCCCTGGGCTGCTGGGAACACCCCTTCCTGAACACTTCTTTGTCTTCCAGCAGACAGTGCCCGCCACCTGGACTTACCCTGCAAGCGATCCTATCTGGAAACCCCCTCTTCGGTGGGGGATGATCACTACTTCCGCTCTCCCCCTCCCTACGACCAGCAGATGCTGAGCCCTTCCTACTGCAGCGAGGTAACCCCCAGAGAGGCCTGTATGTACTCGAGTTCAGGGCCCGAGATTGCGGGGGTGTCTGCTGTGGACGACTTGCCCCCGCCCCCACTGAGCTGTAACATGTGGACGTCGGTCTCGCCGTACACCAGCTACAGCGTGCAGACCATGGAGACTGTGCCTTACCAACCCTTTCCCGCACACTTCGCCACCACCACGATGATGCCACGACTGCCCACCATCTCAGCCCAGAGCCCCCAGCCACCAGGAAATGCCCACTTCAGTGTATACAATCAGCTGCCCCAGTCTCAGGCCCGAGAGCGGGGGCCCTCCACTTCCTTCCCTAGAGAGCGTGGCCTCCCCACAGTGTGCGAGAGGAAGCCGCCCTCCCCACACCTGAACGCTGCCAATGAGTTCCTCTACTCCCAGAGCTTCTCCTTGACCCGAGAATCATCCTTGCAGTACCATTCAGGAGTGGGGACTGTGGAGAACTGGACTGATGGATGACGTGACCGCTGTATCCTTGACAACCCCAGGACCATGTCAATCCAGTATTAACCTCTGTGGGTGGCTGGCACTACCAAGAAACATGGGAAGGTATTCCAGAAGGGGTGTGTGTGTGTGTGTGTGTGTGTGTGCGTGCGTGTGCGTGCTTGTGTTTCTACATGTGTGTGTGTGGCTGGAGAGCATCTGTCTTCTGACATGCAGCTAAGGCCAAGACAAGAAAAAAGATACAACTGTCTAGGAAGTAATTTTGACTTCAGGAGCCAAGTCCTTTGTTACCTGGCATCTCTTGACATGCCCTGGGTGGATCGAAGTGGAGGGCTCACGAGTTATCTAGATAGAGGTTTTTGAAATATACTCTGATTTACTCAGGGGCCAGCTGAGGTCTCTGGCACAAGGAGGGCCTTTCTTGGCTGGAATTGGGGGTATCTGTGCTTGCTTAGGGTTCTTGGCCCTCTACCTGTAAGGGGAGCCGCCCACCACTCTTAGGAACAGGAGTACCCCACTCCTTTGGCTTCTGGAGATGTATGAGACTACCTGAGCCTTAGAGTACTGTGAGGGTGGAGCTGGCCATCCATCAACCTGGGCTTGGATTCTTGAAGCTCCAGGGTCTGAGGCTGACTTGCAGAAAGAATTCCGGTGCTTGCTTCCTTCAAGAGGGGGGAAATGCCACCATTTTATCTCTGTCCATCATCATGAAGGTCAGAGCCCCTCCCCCCAGCCCCAGCATGTGACCTCTCAGCCTGTCAGATACCATCTGCAGCCTGTGATGGGCAGTCAAACACACCTTACCTGGCAACATCCCAAACTGATGTTCCACGTCTGCTGGACCCATTCAGCGCCTAGGAAAATCCACATCCCCAGAGCAAGGAAGCTGGCAGAAGGAAGCAGATAACTGAGAAAGAGCACTTCAGTGGTCCAGCTCAGAGGAGCAGATGATTCTTCCAGAGTGGGGAATGAGGAGAGCAGGCACTCAGTCCATCAGCTTCCAATGTCACCAGAGTGTCAGGTGTGGTCGGAGTGAACTCGAAAGCAGAACCTGGAAATCACTAAACTCTTTGCATGCTGAATAGCTATTTATATATTATATAAATAAATATATAAATAAATATATCTATATCTCACAAATGCGGGCCACATGTCAAATTCAGCTTTGCTTTTTACAAATAAACTTACTGAAAATGAATGCTGGAGGGAGTATTTGGAAAGACATCTATTTAAATTTTTATTGCATTTGATGTTATCTAAGAATGGTTTAGATATAACATATTATATATATATATTATAAATGCACACACTACAGATAAAGCTTTATTAGAAAACACATTAGCTGACAGGTGGTATGAAACTTCCAAGTGTTTTGGTATATAGCATGGACATTTTATTTTGCATATTGAGACATAAAGCCATCTTACAACTGTGAAGTGTGTGTGTCCTTTATTAATGTCTTGCCGTTGCTTGGCGGTGGTGTCTGCCTCTCCTTTTTTTCTTCAAGTGTCTGGTGGGGTCCTCAGTGCCTCTAATCTAAACATTTGTATGTAGCATGAACCCTCAGGGTGAAGTAAGTTCCAAGTCCCTTCTATCTTACATTACTCCCTAGATTATGGGCTATGTCCCAGGGCTCACAAAGACCCAACGAGGGTAGAGCAGGCAGTTAGCACAACCCTACAAACTGGGGGAAGTAGTCTCAAGAGTAGAGAATCCTTGGCATTTGTGCAGTTACTTCGGAATATAGCTACAGAGCAGGTTGGAGCCAGAGTCTGGGCTTTCTGGAGCAGCTGGCTGTGTGAGTTGTCAGCCACCTTTACCCTAGTGGGCATGAAGTGAGACCCTGACCTCAAGCTGGACAGTTTGGGGCAGATGAAATCCAACCTGGGATTCCCTCGTTAGCTGAGGAAAAGCGGTTCCAGGAAGGTGCTGCTGGGAATGGACCAGTCCCCTGCACCCTTGCACCCTCATGCCTCATCCATCCCCTAAAGGTGTTTCTCCGTCTCCATGGTCTCCACTTAAGATGGTCTTGAAACCCAGGAGAAAGGCAAGAATTGGGATGCTTTTAAAGCCTTTTCATTAGGACTAAGATTCCTGTGTCTGTACACGGGCCCTCTGGCTGGGCAGCTTCCTACTCCATACCTGCCGGTGCCCACCAGGACTTAGTCACAGAGAAAACCTTGATTTAGCTTAGGGACAGGGAAGGCGGCTCTTAACTCCCAAGTGTCCTGCTCATTCCTTTCCAAAGATGGTACCCAGTCCAGGACACTCCGTCTGGAAATGAGAGGGCTGGGAGTATGTCCCTGGGTTCTCTCAAGTACCTATTTAGCTAAGAGAAAGTTGTTTCTAAAGAGGTATTCGACCTTGAGGCAGCCCACAGAGTCCTGACTTTCTGGGAAGCCTGAGTTTCCCTGGCTGCCCCACCTGGGCATAGCAAGAGCAGGGCCTGCAGTGGGATTTGTGGAACTTTTCCTGCCCCTCTGAATCAACAACTCAATAAAAAGGGGGCACATGGGATCTTGTAGAACAAAGGGCACCATTCAGTAGCGCCAGCAGGTCATACATCATCGGCCCAGAAGCCTGCCACATGACACTGCCTGCTTCTACTGTGCCCTGCTCGGGAAGGAAAAATAGCTGATTATCACTCAGCTACGAGGGCCATGATTGGGTGGCCCCCTGGGTTCCCCTCCAGCCAGGGGCTAGAGGTCTCTCAGCCTGGAAGATCAGCCACTGACTACCCTCAGGGACAGCAGGTCCTGGAATCACAAAAGAGAAGCTGGGCCAGACTGACAAATTGTTAAAAAACCAAAGCGATTTCTAGCTTTGGCAGGGCCTCGGGGGTCAAGAGGCCTCTGCTGGCCCCTCTAATGGAGCCTGCAAGAAGAGAAACAGCCTGGCCTTGCAGTGCCTTATCTTACAACATAAAATTAAAACCCACTTAAAAGGCCGGAGGGCACGTTAACATTCTGCCTGCTGTCTAATTGAAGTAGTTCCCAGTGCAAAGGATTTTACTTGAAAGACGGCTCCCTCCAAGTCAGGCTCTCCTGCCTGCTGGGGCAGGGGCGGCAGGGAGGGAGAGACTGTCATTTCAGAGACCTGCACAGAGCTCAGGCCAGAAAAGCACACAGTGTCTGCTTTGCGGTCCCCAGTGGTGGAGGGAGGGGGTGGGCAGGTGGTGACAGCCAAGGTTCGAACAGGCTGAGTTTTCTAGTTTTGCAAAATTTACAAATTCATTAGCAGTTATGTCAGCAGAGGCCAGACTCGTTCAGGTAATGATTCAAATATGGTGAGCCCCACAGCAAAAACCTGGCAGCCTCTGTGGCCCAGAGGTTTCGATTCCACCCCCCAGCAACCCCTATGCAAATCTCTCCCAGGTCTCCAAGGCATACGGAATCAATCAGAGGCATCCTGGAAAGGGTGGTGAACTTGCACTGGCCATCCTGAGTAATGGGAACCAGTCAGCCCCAAGCCGGCTGGGACTGAAAGCCAAGGTGACAGCTATTAAGCTCTCGTGCGCAGAACAAAATGGCAGAGGGGCCGGGTAATCAATTCAATTTCAATGGGCAGCCCACGCAACTGCAGCGTCTGTCGCAGCCGATTAGAGAGGGCCAGCCTGGAACTTTCAATGCGAGGCCATCGCAGATCAGAAACAGGCCCCGGGATGAAAAGGGAATGCGCGTCTCCTGAGGAGCGGGCGATGAAGGACTCTGTTTTATGTGACCGTGTTCTTCTTCCTCTCCTTGAAGAAAGAGAAGGGGAGAAAAGCCAGCAGTTTGGAGATTAGATAGTTTTCTTTTCAGCCATTCATCATTATGAAAGAAAGAAGACAGGGCAAGAGCAGAGAAAGCTCCAGCGGGATTTCTGCGAAGTCTCACGACGACGGACTGGCTTTAGGCCGCAGCCCACTAGCCCTGCCTATTACCACAGTCAGATGGGGCCTGCAGAGCGTCCAGGGTCCCTCTTCTCCAACAATGGCAAACAGGCCCCAGGGCTTGCAGGATCACAGGCATTCTCCTGCAGAAATTCCAAGCGCCCAAATTGTATCATTTGTGAAAATTAAAACCTGGGCTAGAATAACGAGAAGAGGAGGAAAATGGAAGAGGCAAAAAAGAGAGGGGTTGTGGGAAGACCAGCAGGTAGGGCACAGGAGGCCCTGGCTGCTCTCTTCCTGGACCAAGGTCAGAGCAACGAGGCCCCTTTGGCATCTGCTGCCCGACAACACTAATCCCAGCCCGATGGCAGCTCCCAACAAAATTCTAGGCTCAGACTTGGTTGCTCTATTCTCTGGTACGGAACAAGGGAAGCCCCCTGAGCACAGAAGCCAGGAGAGCTCAGCTAGTGTAGGGCTATAGAGAGATGAGGGATGCTATAATGCTAATAAGGGATGCTAATAAGGGATGCAGGAAATGGGGGGGGGCATTCTGGAGCCAACGCTGGAGTAGGAGAGTTCAGAGCTGGGCTGGGAATAAGGGAGAAAGGGTTGATTAGAAACCAAGAGTGAGGGGTGCATGTGCTTGGATGGCTCTTACAACAAGAATTACAAAGATAATTAAACCAACCTCATAATAACATAAAATGCAAGCTGAGTGGCAGGGTGCCACTCCTGTCTAACCGTTAGCAGGAAAAGAAAAGGGAGCCGTTAACGTTTATGGCTGGTGGGAACAGACTGCTGGCTTTTCTGGAAAAAGCAATTTGGTAGCCTGGACAATGATTCTAAAAGTATTCACATCCTTAAGAGAAAGAATAGCCAGAGATGAAGACACAGCTGGATGCTGTGCAATGCTCATTGTACTATTATTTTTAAAGTTCCCACTGGCAGAAAGCAAATTGGTAAATGATGATTTCCCTCACATTCTGGGATATGATGCAGCCAATGGAATTATGATTACAAAGAGCCTTTAGTGGCATGGGAACCGATTGAAAATTAAGTAAAAAGGAAAGACATAATAGAACACGATCTTGAGAACATTTAGGTAAAAAAAATGGAGTAACCAAACTAAGTATCATTAAATAACAATTAATGAGTGAATAAAATACATACTCATAACTTCTTATGTGGAAAAAATGAGTAATAGGGTAGTCTCCCAGTTTTGTACAATTCAAAACCAAACTCGAACCTGTGTGTGTGTATGCAAGCCCTCATACATGCATGGTATGTACATGGTAGGGGTAGATGATTCAGAAGGACTGGTCTGAGGGTTCTCACATCTCTGTATTGTTCAGCTTGTTACAATAAGCATGTGATCACTTCTACAGTTAAAAGATATAGTTTAAAAAAAGGAAAATAAAATGTAATTATAGAATTCCTTGAGCCAGAAGAAACTACCCAAGTGTTAAGAGCAGTAGCTACAAAAAGAGGCTGAAGTCACTGCTAGGGACACAACAGGACAACACAACAGACAAGCTGCTGCACCTTGTCTGGTTCCTTTGGACTCTCCCAGGTCTTCAGTGCTACTGCTGGGTGGCTCAGAGTATTCTGAAGTCCAGTCTCACACTCCTCTCCTGACACCACCTCCTGGGTTATTTCTACTAAAGGTTGGCAGGGCACCCCACCCTGCCCTGTTCTGACCCATGCCAACACTGCCTCCCTGCCTACAGCCTGGGGTGGCAAAGAAGGAAGGCAGGTCAGCTCCCAGGTCCCAGGCCACTCATAGGGTAATGGGCAATCTGAGTACCCTTCTGCCCGACAGGCCTGCAACTGGAGTATAATACTTCACAATGACAGCTGTCTATCTTTTCTTCCTTGTTTCCTGGAGGGCATGTAGGCACAGGAAGACTAGGTCAGGGGATATTTCCAGCACCCAGCCTTGACACCTGTCATCTCTCTGACATTTCAAATTGTCTGTTCTCTTAAGGAGGCAATTCCATGGGAATCACACTCAATCCATGCCAACAGTCAATTGATTTTGTCTCAAGAAAACAAGACCAAAGACAAGACATGTTCAAATCTGGCTCCCTACATAAGGGAGTCTAGTGCAAGATCCTGAGGGAGGGAGCATGCTCAGTAAACTCCCTCCTTCATCCCTTCACAGCCTGGTACCTGTGTGAGTAGAGGAAGTAGCTGCCGGAGCATCACGACCATTCTCCCTGCAGACAAGTTGGCTAGATGTATGACCTTAACTCAGTCTAGACTTTAGGATTTAAGGAATTAGAAGACTTTTTCCAACAACATCTCACGACACTGAGTGTTGCTGCCATTTGCCAAGGTAGAAAGTGTGGTTCTGACTTTTGACCGGACAAAGAATGGCTGCAGAAACACAGCCGTAGAGACAGTCTTGTCCCTGGGACTGAGATCTCCTGGGTCTGAGGTTCCAAATCGGGCCACATCTGGGTGGAGCTTGTTGGAACTGAGCTGGTCAGAAATTAGAAGGCCAATAGCCAAAGGCTCTGGTTTTGTTTTGCTGCTAAAATGGGGGTCTCAGTAGCCTTGGGGAGGGTTTTACTAACTCGTCAA